ACAGCTTAGTTAGGGTGACGCAGTTCAACAGAGCAACCAAGCTACTGGCCACCTCACAAAGGAGATGAAATTTGGTGTCTGAGAACAGCCAAATGAAATTAAGTGTCACACTTTTTTGAGAACTGTAATAGAATCTAGAATAGCTATCTATAACAGATAGTCCAAAATGTGATTGTGGATATATGATCCAAAATAACCAGCAACACAAAGAAGCAGAAAAATGTGATCCCTTCCCACTGCTGTAAAGAAAGGTAAGCAATAGAGACAGACTGCAACATTTCCCAGAAGTGATGCCTACCAGGCAAAGAGCTCAAAGCAGCCCCAGAAACTAAGCTCAAAGTGGGGAAAAAAGAAACAGCTCTCATCAAATCAGTAATAGATTACCTGAGATGAAGTAGAAATTATTTTTAAATATTCAAATAGAAATCTGGTAACTGAAAAATGCAATGCATGCGATTATGAGAGCCCTGGTAGTACAATGGGTACTTGGCTGCTAACTGGAAGGTCAGTGGTTCAAACCTACCAGGTGCTCTGCAGGAGCAAGACAAGGCAGCCTACTTCTGCAAAGAGTTACAGCCTTGGAAACCACATGCAGCAATTCTACTCTGATCCACAGGGTTGTTATGAGCTAGCATCAACACCACAGCAGTGAAATTTTGCTGTTCAGATGGAGGTTTTTTGGTGGTTCTTTGGCTGCCAGGAAACTGCAGATAATAAAAGAAATAGTGAACCTGAAGAATGAGCAACAGAAATTGACCTATCTTAAGAACATAGACCAAAGATTGAGAAGAAAAAAAACCAAAGAGACTCAGTGACCTGTTGACCAGTATCAACAACTACTGAAATATAAATATTGGGGTACCCTAGGGGGAGAGAATGGGAGAAAAAAATTAAACAAAATAGTATCCTGAAATTTCCAAATGTTATTAAAGACTTAAATTTTTAAATACAAAAAGCACAGAAAAAGTAGGATAGATGCAATGAAAGCCACATACAGGCACATTACAGTTAAAACACCGAGAACCAAAGATAATGATAAAATATTGAAAGCAGTATAGGAAACAACAAATTACTTAAAGGTGAACAACCATACAAATTACGGCTGTTTTTCTCAAAGGAAAAAAAAATATTTTTTGGCTTTGACTTTGCTTTGTGCTCTTTTTTTTAAGAAATCACTTTATTGGGGCTCTTAAACAGCTCTGTTAACAATCCATAATCAATTGTATCAAGCATATTTGTACATATGCTGCCATCATCATTTCCAAAACATTTTCTTTCTACTTGAGCTCCATTTTCTCCCCTCCCGCCTTCTACCTTTGTGACTACCTGATAATGTATCAATTCTTTTTATTTTCATATTTTACACTGTCAGCTGTCTCCCTGTACCCAAGTTTCTGTTGTTTGTGCCCCTAGGAGAAGGGGCTGTAAGTCAATCATTATGATCAGTTCCTCCCTCTTTTTCTCCCCCTTCTCCTCCCACCTTTTCACTACCCTCATGGTATCACAACTCTCATTATTGGTCCTGAGGGGTGTCAAAGAAAAACTTTCAAAAGGCTAGAAGATAACTGAATGTCTTTTAAACTGCTGGAGGAAAAAGAAAACTGTCAACCTACAATTCTATATCTAGAAAAAAACTATCTTTCAAGAATGAAGGCAAAATAAAGATGTATTAAAAAATAAAGAATTCATAGTTAGCTAGTCCTCTATGTAAAAAATACAAAAGATGGGGGGGGGGGAATGAGGAGCTGATACCA